GACTTTGATGGACTCTAACTCCTCATTCATAGCTTTCACCCACTTTAGATCCTTCAATGCCTCGGCTACATTGACCGGTTCGACATCTGCATAGAAAGCATGGTGTACCAGCTCACCTTCTTAATCGACCACATCATCTGATGTAATCACACATTTTTGCAACCTTGCAGGCATGTGTCTTGTTCGTTGAGGTCTACTTGGGCATGTTTCACCTCTGACTTCTTCTTGTCAAACTTCTCTTTTGAATTCAGTGGCTGGTTCTTCATAAGATATTCTCACTGAATCCTTCATGACATTCTTAGTCCAATCTCATTCTTTAAGCTCATCTATGATCACGTCCCTGTTAATCACTACCTGCTTATTCACTGGGTCGAACAGCTTGTAACCTCCAGTCGAATGATATTATATCAAGAACATCTTATTCGACTTGTCATCAAGATTCCTTTTCAACTGATCTGGCACATGTCAAAGTTTTATAGATCCAAACAGCTTCAAGTGACTGAGGCTAGGCTTGACACAAGACCAATATTCTTCTGGTGTGATTCCTTCAAGCTTCTTTGTCGGACATCTATTTAAAATGTATGTTGTTGTCGAAACCGCTTCTCCCCATAATTCTTTAGGTAGATACTTTCCATTTAACATACTTTTCACCATTTTCATGATGGTTCTGTTATTTCCTTATGCAATTCCATTTTGATGTGAAGTGTAAGGTGACACCACCTCATGCATAATCCCTTATTTTTCACATAATACATCAAACTCTTTCGACACATACTCTCCACCACCATCAGTCCTCAGAATTTTTAACTTTCGACCACTCTGTCTTTCGACCATAAATTTAAATATGGAAAGTACCTCAATCACTTTACTTTTCTTCTTGATCAGGTAAGTCCATAGATTTCGACTGTAATCATATATGAACATGACAAAGTATTTGTTCCCTGCAATCGAATCCACCTGAATTGGACCATATACATCAGAGTATATGACTTCTAAAATTGCCTTCGACCTCCTTCATATATCCTTGCTGAAGCTATTCTTGTGTTGTTTCGACTAAACACACTCTTCACAGACTTCACTTGAAATGTCGATTTCAGGTAATCCTGAAGCCATATTTCTTCTCTTTAGCTCTCTGATGTCATTGAAGTTGAGATGGCCTAGTCGAAAATGCCATAACCATTCATCTCTGTTGGTTGTTGTTGCTAGGTACTTGTGTTCTATCACATTGAGTTCAATCTTAAAGGTCCTATTCTGAGACATTGGAGCCTTCAAGATCAACCTACCACCTGCATTGAGAACTCTCATCATCTTATCTTCGACAGTTACCTTGTGGTTCTTTTCGATAAGTTGTCCTATACTGAGCAGCTTACTTTTCATGCCTGGTATGTATAACACATTGGAAATTATTGATGTCTTGCCATCCTTCCTCACAATCTGAACATCACCAACACCTTCAGCTACTAGAGTGTTGTCATTTTCAAACTCCACAGTGTTCTTTGACGAGGACTTCATGTTGACAAATCAATATTTCCTTCCAGTCATGTGTGATGAGTATCCTGAGTCCAAGTACCACTGGTCCTAGAATCTTTCTTCATCTCTTGTTATAACCATCAACAACATCTCTTCTTCTTCATGTTTCTTCAGCTTTGTATCAGTTTCTTGATTCTTCTTCTTTTGTGGACAATCACTAAAATAGTGACTATACTTCTGACAATTGCAACACTGAATGTGACCTTTGCATTTCCTTTCTTTTTATGAATGCGCCTACAAATCAATATTTTCTTCCAGTCATGTGTGATGAGCATCCTGAGTCTAAGTACCATTGGTCCTGGAATCTTTCTTCATCTCTTGTTGTGACCATCAGCAACGTTTATTCTTCTTCATGTTCTCCAGCTTTGCATCAGTTTCTTGATTCTTCTTCTTTTCTGGACAATCACTAAAATAGTGACTATACTTCTGACAATTGAAACACTGAATGTAACTTTTGTCAGACTTTCGACCACCACTTCTTCCTCTACTTGCAGCACCACCTCTTTGGTTGCCTTGGTTCCAGGATTTTCTCTGGTTCGACCAGTTTCCTTCATGCTGATTTCGACCAGTCAAATTGGTGTAGCCTCCTCAACCTTTGTTGCCATTCCAGTTTCCTTTGCATTTCCTTTCTTTTTCTGACTGCGCCTGTAAAGCCATATCACTTTTCGATTTTTCTACAGCTCTTTTAGCCATCCTTTGTTCATGAGACTCAAGCGTCCCTTGAAGTTCTTCCTTTGTCAATACTGATAAGTCTTTTGACTCTTCTATGACTACTACCACGTGGTCGAAATTTAGAGCCAATGACCTCAAGATCTTTGACACAAGTGATCTTGAAGTCAACATTTCTCCACATACCTTGATTTGATTCACCAGCTTTGTAACTCTGGTGAAGAAATCTGTTATACTTTCATTTTCTTCCATCTGAAGCAATTCATAAGTCCTTTTGTGAGTTTGTAACCTCACATCTTTCACCTTCTCTGCGCCTCCAAACGATTTTTCAAGAACCTCCCAAGTTTCTTTTGTTGATTCTACATCACTAACCTTTTCAAAGTTATCTGGATCAACACATTGATGAATTATAAAGAGAGCTTTATAATCTTTCTTCTTCAATTCTTTATATGTTATTTTCTCCTGATTTGTCGCAGTTTCTGCAAGCGGTGATAATCCCTTCTTCACAAGATCCCAAAGATCTTGGTAACAGAAAACTACCTTAATTTGGTTGCACCAATTCTCATTATTATCTTTCTTGAGAATTGGAAGATTTGTTGGAAAGTGACCGTTCAGGTGATTCATCGCCATCACAGTTGTTCTTCCCTTGAATCAAAACCGGAACTCTAGATACCAAATGTTAAAATTCAACCACGACCTATGGTTAATTCTTCTCAATCTTGATCTCAAGATTTTTATGTAATTACAATGAACAAAACAACAAGAACACATTTAAAGAAAATGAGTATGAACTGCAGAGTAACTCTCTGCCCACGACTGTGAAATTTTATTATCATTTTACAATTGCAAAACCGTAATTATCAACCTTGATGAATACAATGAAAATCGTTCCTCCCTATTTATAGGTTTAGGTTAACTTGCAACTCAAGCTAAAGGTCAAACTATAAAAGCTCAAAAATATCTAATCTAAAAAAATGTCAAGTTGAAGTCAAACAAATATATATTTATTTAATTAAATATGTCTACAATTACATCCATCAGAAAATGCACCTCTAAATTATGTTGTAAGAATCTATTTCTTTTATTTAATATGTTTAAGAACAATTGGGATTCCTATGTTATACAAATTTATTTCTTACTATATTTAATATTTGGAATAATTGGTTGGAAATTTTTTTAAGTTATGTAGAATTATTGATTGGAAATATCTTTAAGTAGAATTATTTGTTCAATTGAATGGTCTGCATACTAAAACAAACTATTTTTCAATTGAACAGTCAGCTTCGACTAAAACCCACTAAAAAAGTGTAAAATGGATAGAGATAAGCCGATAAATGTTTTCGGACTATCACTAAATAATTAAACACATAAATAAAAAGATTTAGTCTAAAATCTTAAACTCCAATCTTAAAATTGAAACACATAGCAAAATTAATTAAAAAAATCACAAATATGATTACACATCGATCGATGCAAGAAAGTCAAAATAATTTAAATTGACTTTAACTTTAAATTATACATTAACGCTACATAATAATAATAATAATAATAATAATAATAATAATAATAATAATAATAATAATAATAATAATAATAATAATAATAATAATAATAATAATAATAATAATAATAGCACTTTTAACTTTACCATAATTCATGTTGAGGGGTCTCTACAATTTTACTTTATTTTTCAAAAACCATAATTCAACAATCAAAATCAAGAGGTAATAAATAACCACAAATCAAACTTAAATAAATGTATTTTATATTTTCTCTCTTTAGTAAGATTGTATTCCATAGTTAATTTTCTTTTCCAATACATAACCAATGTTTCACTTTAAAATTCAAAATTTTGAATAAAAAGATTAGTAGTAGTTAAAAAGGGAGAAAGGTGTTGATCGAGTTACCTTAATAAAAAAAATACAGTTGTTATAAAATAAAAATTAAAACTCTTAACAAAGGATTGACACATCATCGAAGGTGAGAGAGGTGAGAAAAGAACAGTGGCAGTGGCCGATTTTAATATACATAAAATAGAAGATTGAAAAACAAAAGAGAAAGAAATAATTGAGATTTAAAAGAGAAGGAAAGGATAAAGTTTTGCAGTGCTAAACCATAAAAAGCGATGATAAAAATGGCCTTAAGAGAGCATATAAAGATATATCATTTGCATCTTTGGTTTAACACTTTTTCATGAGTATTTTCAATCAGAAACCACATGTAAAAGTAAAGTAAAGTAAAGTAAAGGTAGATGTAACCTCTTAAACATACTTTTGGTTAAAGACTATGTGCTGCTCATAATAAAAATGTGAAGGTGGTTTTCAATATTGTGTGATGCATTTTTCAAATGGTGTGAAAATAACACATAAAAAGGTGAAGAATGTGAAGACCATAGATAACCCAAAAGTGTGATTGGAAAAAGATGTGTGAGAGATAAAAGGAAATAGAACACTCAAGTTGTTGCTAGATCACTCATTAAGCATTTCTTTATATTTGATCATGGTTAAAGTTCCGGCTTATATTAAAACTGTGCTATGCTTGAATCAAAGTATAGTATCCCTTACATAAGCTCAATGGATTTAACATATGGCTAAAATTATTTATACCATAAACTAATATAAAAATATCTCAATTTTACATTGACTTTCAAAACGAAACACAACATTAAGAATATGTAATCTAAATTTCGAAGAAGGAAATATTCGATTACCTAGCATTATAGAAGATACACAAAGGAGGATTAATTTTTTCATCAAAAAGAAAGTGAATATTAAAATGATACAAAATATTTTACTTTATAGTTAGGCTCCATGTAAGATATGACCAAGAAATTCTTTCATATTATTTTCTAATGACCCTCCACTTGCAACTGCACATTGGCATATTTTTTGAAGCTCTCTTGCTCTTTTCCTCGTACCCTTCCCTTCATCATCATCTAAATCCATAAATCTTTTAACAAGTTTAGCAATTTCATCTCTTCTTATCAAAACATCCTCTTTAACTTTCTTCTCCACCCTCCACCCAACTTTCCAATCCTCAACAATACACTTACTGTTCATAGGTTGGTCCATCATGATTGGAAAGGTAAGAAAAGGAACACCACAAAACAAACCTTCTCTAGTTGAATTCCACCCACAATGTGACCAAAAACCACCTATAGCACTATGCATCAATACTCTCAATTGGTCACACCATGGCAAAACAAATCCTTTATCACCACAAATATTTTTCCATTTAGAACTTTCTTCACGCATCACCCACAAGAATCTAACACCACTTTGGTGTAAACCATTCGCAATTTCGTCAATTTGTTCACTTGAAACCGAAAGAAAACTCCCTTGTGAGACATATAGAACAGAACCAAATGGTTGATTGTCTAGCCAATTTATATAATCACGGTCAGTGCTTACAGAGGTAATTTGGTTGTGACGAAAATAAGGTATCGTAGGGCCAATTGTGTAAACTGGTATAGAAAATTCTTGTCTTAAAACATCAATAGCTCGAGGTTCAAGTTCATATATTGAAGGGAATAATAGATACTGTGCTTTCTTTATCCATGGTATGTTATTCAAAGCTAACTGTAATAATCGACGACTACGAAAGCTGGCATCATTGAGTGGTAAGTCTAGTAGACGAATGAATGAGTTTCCAGGAATGTAATCCACACGTTTATCACAATTTTCTGTCGCCACAATTTTAACAAGACACAATTCACTTAAAAATATTCAGAGAGAATATAATGCCGTTTAACAACTGTGTAGTTGAAATAACTGTAATTTTGACTATAATTTTCACACACAATTTTTTCAAAGTGGTAAATTGAAAAGTAAGTGATGGGAAAGAAAAAGACAAAATAGAAAAATAACTGACCTGAGTTTACTGGATAATCACCATTTTGCTCCAAAAGATGATAATGTTTAAGCACAAGAAAAAACGACGCCGACATTGGCCAAAACGACGCAACTGGAATATTTCTCCGATTGGAAACGCGCACAACCCAGAACAGAAAGCTGTCGTAGATAATCACCGTGGGTGGTGGCTCAAGCTGGTCGAGTAGCCGTTCAAATGGTTCTTCCATTTTGGTGTTAACAGCTTGGAGGAAGTTAAGGAAGTCATTGGCTCGACCCTCTTCGGAGGGAATAACGTTTGGAATGGTAGCGAATCGGATATTGTTTGGCTTAGATTCGGAGGCGATGAAGCCGAGCCATTCTTCGGTGACGACGAAGGTAACGAGGATGTTGGGGTTGTTGGAGACTAGCAATTTGCTGAGGTTCATCATTGGGTTGACGTGGCCTCTGCCGGGGTATGGTACAGCGATGACATGGGTGGTGATGGTTGATTGAGAAGGATAGGCAGCTTCCATGGCTGGAGATAATGTTTAGTAGTATTTGGGAGGGTGAAAGAAAGACCATGGAATGACTCAATACATATGTTAAGTTGTAGGCACTATTGTGTTTGTTTTCAATGACATTTTTATTGACTTTGAAGATATTATGAGGGGTAGCAAAGATCAAATTGGATTCATATAGTTGTTTTAATTTCTGTATGAGTTTGGATCCAATTCTTCTTTCATGTTCTCTTTTTTTTCACACAATTCTTTCTTGAATTTATCCATTATAAACTTTAACAAACACATTATTCATTTTTTATATATATTGAATAAAATAATTATAATAATTAATTATATTTTATTATAAACATTATACATTAAATAAATATTTGATACTTAATTTATTTAATTTATTTTTAATATATTGACATAAAAATAAAAAAATAATTATATTATGCTACTATAACTATTTTACACTTTTGTTACATTTTTTTTTTATATTAATCTTTTAAGAAGATGATAAAATGTACCATTCATGTAAATGATATACATTTCTTCGGTTAGTTAAATTTAAATTTTTTATATCTTATAAATAAAAACGAGAGCGTTATAATATACAATTTATACTATTTAAAAAATTAATTATAAATTTTACACATATTTTTTTAAATGAATTATCAAAAAGTTGTTGATATTGTGATATAATTCAAGTTGTAGCTAAAGTCCAAGTTAGTGAGTATTAGGGTTATATACTTAATAATCAAGTCACTTAGTTGTAGCCAAAAATTCGTGCAGTGTTTGTATTTAAGTCCCTCATATCTCGTCGAGACGAAGATTTCGATCTCCATATCTCCGAATAGGAGTAACTTAAATAGGGGCATCTGTTGCACCCTAATTTTTTACCATAAGATTCCTCCTCCTTATGCTTATTTCCCTGCTTTTTTTTATTTTTTTTTTTTGCATATATTTATTACGACTAATCAGTTTTACGCAGGTGACAAGTTCAAGCATAGATCAGATGATTTCTCTCATTAAGTGTTGAGTTTAGTCATTCAAGGCCAATTATGGATGGTATGGCAAGTGAGATCGCAGGTTACATTTATGGGGTTCTGAGTATCAAAAATTGGGTATGGATTGATGACTCGGGGAATGATAGTTTGAAGCCAAGTCGGGACTCTGTTGGATTCGCAATGCTTGATATTCATTTATTGTCTTGAGATAAGGATATAATTGGTTCAAGGCCCTCTTTTTCATGAATCACCTCCTATCACTAACACGCTTTACAATCATCAAGAGAAAGCTGCCGTATTTGAAGACGTAAGGGATTAAGGAGTGTTGATCCACACGTCCTTGGTTTTATATGTTTTCCTCCATATATAAGTTTTGATTAGAATCCTGTGTTGGTTTGCATAACTTTTTCCAACAAGCCAAACATTAGAGTTTGGAGGGTAATGTCACTCGGTTATACCGCCAAAAAGTGGCGTTGGACCTTAAACAAGATGCTCATATTCATCAGCCACATTAAACACTGCATTGAGAATATCAATAGGAGAATGCTTATTTATTATACATTAGCAATTATAGATTTTGTGATCACAATTTGCTAACTGCTCCAGCTATGGGAAACTATAATAATAATACAAGTGCCGGCCACAGTACTCTTGCTACATCAGTCGAGCTCATCGCTTGCCATGACCTTTTCTTCCTTCATCAAGTCTCTCACAAACACCGGCCTAAGCTTTTATCATCCGTCACTTGGTTGTCGGCATACGTATCCCTCTGCAAATTAAATTAAGAAAGATTTTTGAGCAGGAACAAGAAATTACATACAAAGCTCCATGTATACCATTGATTTGATTTCGATGTTAGAATAAATTGACCCAATTGAGGCACATTCTAGTCGATATTGCAACACAAGTTTTGTTGAACATGAATTGACCGAGAAGCCACTTACGCAATTGAGTTGCTCCTCTCCGTTGATCTGAGACAAAAGCAGAAGAGAATCATTAAACAGTTATGCGGTTACAAATTCGAGAACAAGTTTAACATCGTGAGACATGATTACCCAGGATATGCTGCCATTTTTTCTTCTAGTAAGACGGAATCAGCCACCTGCATCAAGCATACATGAGAAAAATGCAAACAGCAGTAGTAACATCAGCACTCGAACTCCTCACGGCAAAGCACAGCATACGATACCCCTGCAGCCAAGCGGAAAACCATGAGACTAGTTTTTGTTCCCTTCCAAATTGAAACCAAACACTATAATGGCACAGGTCATTACCTTTTGAACGCAGGAGGAATCCAAATGCCACAGGAGGATTCGTCGCGCGTACGCATTCGGTACCACTACATTTGTGATATGGCTAGGCTGCTCTACACCTCAGAGGCGTGCAGGCAGAAAATTCAACAGAGTATTACCGCAAAATAACAAAGGTATCGATGAGGAACGATTATCCTTTTTTCCTTATTCTCTATGATCACAATGACATGAGTAACCAAACATTTGAGGAAGCAAGCTGGGTAAACCAGAACAGTTTTGGGAAGACACCTGCTTAGACTTTGAGTAGTCAATAAGGGGGACCTAGCTGTATCTCGAGTTGAAAACAGATACGACATTTCAACCTGCAACAAAACAAATAAATGGCACACATTTAGATTGGTGAGGAAAAAATTTTAGTTTCAAGGTAAAACAAGCCTCACAGAGATGTACACACGCATCAAACGGCGAGAATCCTCATCAAACACAACTGGCATACCGAAAGAAAGCTACCAAAGATTCAGATCTTTCAAAGAGAATTTCGTAGAAAATGAGACACATGGAGGGTTCACTGTCTAAAGCCAACCTTACTTTCCCGGACTGCTCTGCTATGGCTGCTAAGTTTTGTGCGATGAATAATAACGCTGAATAACAAGTTCGTTCTCAGCAACACGAGGTAACCCATCTTGTTCATCCTGCCACAAACCAAAGTTGCCTCTGTTGTACCTCGGATTCGATTCAATCTTGCGACATTCTCGAAAATCCCTGCGAAGATTATAGAAATCAGAGCATATTTATAAGATTGAGGAAGAAGAAAGCACACAGCTTAGAAATCAAGTTACTTAGCTGTTACAAGCGAACAAGAAAATCCACAAGAGGAATGAATAGGATTCTTGTTCGGTTTCATCGTTTCTTCATCTTCTTGCTTCTTACAAGGGTTTCTTTATCCTCACCCCTCCCGCACTGATACTGGTTATGTAGGTTCAGATACTGCAAGAATTCTGAATCAGGAGCATGGTGATGTTCATCGAATACATTGCTCTAGAGAAAGATAATATCTCAAGAAGGTGCAGACTTCACCCTGACAATGATATATATAGAGATCAAGAACATCATAAATCTCATATAGACAAATGAGTGGCAATGTGGATACCGTAAGAAACCCTTCTGCAAAGAGAAACATCTTGATCAGCATTTTGACAACAGACACTCCAATTTACTTAATTTGAATGAAGGCCAGTGCTTAGCAGATGTATGTGGGGTATTGCACCGTGACCGTGACACCAATTCCAGGCCAAAAAAAATCAAAGCGCAATCTTGCTGCAGCAGCAAGAAATAAACATATTTACGAACCCTACCTGCAGAGAACATTGTCCAAGGATCAAAATACATTATCAAGCACCACAGAAACAGAGGCATAAATGTATCAATTTAAAAAGAGTGCAAACCTGATCTCAAAGTTATACTATCAAAATCGATAGTACTCACTACTGTTAGCCAAGTTTGTGCATCAAGAACGAAATCCATGGCACTTATTGCACAGGGTATTTAGATGAGGTACTGTGATTCATGTTTCTCCAACAGAGACAACCTTGACATTATTACAGCTTTCATTTTACCAAAGTATGGCTGATGCAAATGTCACGAGTCATAAAGGAAATTCGAAACCTGCAAAACACAGAGTAATAGTCGTTAATTATTTCACAATCATAAACAACCAACATCGGTGCAGATTCCTTCCAAAACTGTATGAATCATACCTCAGACAAATTAATCCTGAATTGGCAAGAATCTTGATTGTTTCCAAAACAGTTCCAACCTGTCTCGGGAAAATTCAAACCGAAAAGGAAAAGAAATGATTTTCATTGATATTGTGTCTCATTTCAATCAACTATAAAAGGAGGATACACAGAGATGAAGGGGACAACAATCCACGGCTCACAAAAAACCCCAATTTCACGACCCCAAAATTCAAAACCCTGAATTTCGTAAATCAGAAAAAGTAAATACTTATCTTCTAAGCTCCAGCAATCGCCGCAAAACCCCGCGAATCCATCACCGGAAATCGCCATTTCCGCCGCCAGACGTCATCTGCTGCGAACTTCAACTACCACCCTCTTCGCGAATCCGTCACCGGCAACACCTTCAAACCCACGTATTATTCGTATGACAAACCACCACCAGAGGAACCATCGGCATCGCCATCCTGGGTAACGCTTTCCTCACTTAACATTTCCAGTTCTGAATTGATGTTTGTTGTTTTTAGGCAGGTCGTGTGAAAGGAGGACGAGGAAGAACGAAAGTTTTAGAATTTATTTTTGAGATGCTTCCATTATTAAATATGGATTATAATAGCCAATGATCTAAAAGTTTTTAAATAAAGTAGTAAAACTAAGGGTGGCAAAACGGGTTAGGCCCGTCGGGCCACCCGTTTAACCTACCATTTTTGGCGGAATGGGGCGAGATTTTTAACTCGACGTCTTATGTTGGCTCGCCCCGCTTAACCCACTTTTAAAACGATCCGAGGGCGGGGCAGGGTGGGTTTTGCCCACGAACTTTTTGTCAAAACATTTATTTTTTTTATTTGAAATTAAAACAATATTAAGGTGGTTTGTAGTATACATACTTTTAAAACAACGCTCATTTCTGCAAACCCTAATGTTTATTTTTCACATAACCACAAACACTTCATTTTGAAGAAATTAATCGGTCTTTGCTTCTTTCTTTATTTTCATTCAAAGTAGGAAAAAAATTTATTGCAAAACATAAAGAA